CTATCGCCGAATGTCAGATTATATGGTTTGAGTTTCCTTGTCGAATGTTAAATTGTTAATATTTGACTTTTGATAACTTTTTATTATATCATGTGCTTGTATTCCAGTATTTTCGTGTTCTTTTTTTGTAAGTATTTCATCTTGAGATGTGTATGCATGGTTTACAGCGCCCAGTACTTCAGCATCTACATTCTTTGTCTTTTTTGTCTTTCTATAATTCTGCTCTGCCTCGTCTAGGGTGCGGGGCACGGGGCGGTCCTTGGTTTCTGGTAAAAATAGCACTACGACGGATGCGATAAGTGACAACACACCGAATGACGCCATTACAATACTTAAATTGTTGTAACCCTGCAAAAAAGTAGGATATCATGAGTGGGTCTTTATAACTCTGGCAACTACATGCCATCACTATCGCCACAGAGCTATGATTAAACATTTTAACATGGGATATATAATCACATGGTGGGGGAAATGTTCACACAGTAGGTTGGCTTATACTTACAATATAAACTGTTAGAGGCGCCACTACTCCACCAAGACTAGCGAAAAAATTGGTAAGACCAAAACCCAGATTTCTATAATGTACAAAAAGCAAGAGGTGGATTTCAATTACCCTAAAATAATCTTAATCATTCTTATAGTCATTGTCAGAAATGTAATCAGTTTTTAGAGCCAGGGGCCAAAATAGCGTGAAGTTCATTCAATTTAGTAACGGTAGACAGCGGTATCAATCAATCATTCAAAAGACACAGTCAATCGTTGATATATTACCGAAAACAAAGACACTAGATTATCGGATGGTACAGACAAGTCTTCGCGAATTCAAAACCAGTCGTGGACAATCGCGCAGAACAATTGAACAATTGGAATCGGCGGCATCAAATGATCTAGCGAGGCCATAAACTGGCATATCTGTGATATGAACACAATAAACTGCAAATATGTTCTAAAATCTCAACCATCGTGTTTCAAAGGTTGAACATAAAGAATCCGAATGTCTTTATAGAAATGTTGCTAACAAATATTTAAATATAAATAATCTTTTTTACCAAACTTTTTTTTTTTCGACGATGCATTCATTATAAATGTGTGTAATTGCATAACATGTATTGGCATACAACTAACCCATCTTATCTTTACATAACCAACCCATACACGTCAAGTGAAATGCACCGAGTTTCATTTGATTTCTGATGTTTGTTCTTTCGAAGACATGCTTGAAAATCTTACCTTACGAGTGTAGGAAATATTTCTGGCGCCCATGTCCAGATGACACCGTACGCGCCAGTGATTGCCAATTTACCAAGCAGAAAAAATACGGTCTGTAACCATTGTATATCCGTGCCATCCGCTGAAAATATAGAAGATGAGTTGTGTAGTTGTAGTCACATGGAGTCTCTAACGTTTCATAATACAACTTGACTATGCGGAAGTCCAAGATCACAAAACAAATGACTGACAACGATCGTAGGGCGGGGCACAAAGAACGCCCAGCCATTAAGAGTCAAATTCAAGGCACACATACGGAGTGTCAGACTCTGTAATGATGTATATACTTACATGTTTCATCCGGTATAAATGGTGTCATTCCACAGGCTAAACCGGCTAGGATAAGCAACAAGCAAGACGGAATACGGTGTCCCCATCTATGAATATAGATTTAAAAATATAAAAAAAACTAACTCTTAAACTTTTACAAAGGACGACTATACTCGAATTGGGTCTAGAACTATATACAGTTAAAGACGATTTCCTCTCGTTACCTTCTAAATTTGGACTTCCTGGTATTCCACGTGTCAACGTGTGTAGTCTAGGGGATCTGTTCCGTTGACAAGGGTTTCCATGACCATAGAGCTAGGGGGGTTAACGTTGTCTATGTTCTGTCGACGAAGACCCCATGTGTATAATAACACGTGTAAATGATGCCACTGATTTTGACAACAAAATAACATAAATGCACTGGTTCCTTTTATAATGAACATAAAATTGGATAATGCTTGACTATGTTATTATTTCTACCTTAAAGTATAACATTTTGTGTCCAAATAAGCGAAATGCAATCAAATACACTTACTTTATTGTGGCAAACATAGCAATGAGATATCCTGGTATCTCAACTACCCCACTCCAGAAAAAAGCCGCATAGACATTAGTACCAACATTGGCTGTGTTGTACGAAATACCCAAATATACCATGCTTGTAACGAACCTGTAAGACAATGACGTCATCGTTATGATATAGAAATTAACTCATATTAACAAGTTATTGAAATTTTGAGAAAGTATTGCGTCTTGACACCTAACTGCCCACTGATATTATCCGGGAAGAGTGCGATCAACAGTCGTCAGAGCTTACCATGAAAAACACATTATACTCGTGCTTATAGCCAGGCGTGGTCGCTTACATAGATCAATCATTGTGTAATGTGGGTCTTCCTCTTGTATACCCAAAGCATCCGTGTCTTCAGGTCCACTGTTTCTTAACCGGTCATCCGATTCTAAAGTTTTCTCCTGTGTAACTGCACCCAATTGAGTTGTCTCAGTCAGCACCCGTTTGAAGCTTTCTCTGTGTAGTCGCTCTTCTCTGTGTTTAATAACAAATGATTTTATCATTATTTGTTCATGCAATTTATTGTAATTTGGACATTTGGTCATTATCCGTCATACTCAATATCGACGCACATGAATGGAATGATTATTGTGGATTCATTAGACAGCTTTTCAAGAACAAACAGCTGAATGAAATATTTTGAAAATTGGAAACATTTTCACATTCGGATTTTCTGTACATTCTGATGAATTCCTCATGTTTGTAGATATGAATATAAAATGCTATTCCAGGAACCAATGGCTGGGTTGGATGCCATTTACTACAAACCACCGATATATTAAACTCCAGACTGTATACGTTGTTGATTCAAATCTATGCTTATTAAGTAGGTGATTTGCATAATAGTTTCATAATTTTAGCACGTTCCTCGAGTAACTTCACAACTAGTTGCATATATATAAGTATATATTTCAAACTCGGTATATGTTTGAGCAGATGAATGTATGATTACAATTCATCTGTGCATATTACTTAACTAATTTGCATATTAATTGTTTGCATCAAGTTTGTTTGTATCCTACATAGGGGGTCGGCAAGGGGTATTTTCGTAAGCTGTAATCTGTTTTTTATTTCCGTAATAATGTAATTTAAATGAATAAAAAAAAACTTAAATTCGTAGACATGGACAAGGTGTAAAATGTAATCAGCTATTTTATTCTACTGTAATTTGTACAAAGATATTATTTTTTGTATAAGTATAAAGCATTTTCCAAATTAAATGTCGTAATTTCCAATTTTGATTCTTAAACTCAAATTATCAAAAATATTATAAAAATGTAAAATGTAATTGGGAATTTGCTTTATCTGTAAAGGGTAAACAACCTATTTTTACTGTAAATAAAACTTTAATTTTATTTCCTGTAATCTGTACCAGCTACCCCCACCTTGGACCCTCTACATAAGTACTATTTATGTAGATATTTGAGCACTTTCCATCACCTCTAGTTTCCTTTGCTAAGTATAGAAATAATGGTGTGGTTACAGGTGGCTACCTTTTATCTGTTTGGTGATTTGGGTTTTAGTGAGAACTACTTAGTAATTTGTTCAAGGAATTGTCATTGTTACAAAAACACGTACCGTCTAGTATGCTGTTACTAAGGACATTTTCTGGCAGCGATTTCTTATTGAACTTTGCCGCTTTGTACAATATAGCTTCTGCCTTTGGTATTCTTTCCATTGATATCAGCCACCTCATCGACTCTGGCACAACCCTGTATCATACAAGTATGTACAGTATCAATTTGACTGAAAATAAGTATTTCTGAAAGTATCGGGAGTTTATAAGAGGGAGCAGACACTGTAGTTTCGAGATACTGTATCTTTTTTCGGTGCGTCCATCTTTAAATATTCTATTTAGATTTTTATTGTAGTCGATTAAATAAAGGTGTACGAAACTCCGTGTATTTATAAACTTGGCATAACCGAAAGTTCAAAGTTCAGATGTATTGTTTAGTTACAGGTTGAATGCAGGGCAGGGCAATGAGGTCGGATAAATAAATAGTGACGGAGTGTGATTTAATAGAACAATGCTTTGTTGAAGCGAGTACCCGGATGGTACATGGACATTGATGACCGACTGATAACATTTGACCTACGTTGTTTTGACGATAAGGTGGCCATGCGACTGACGTCACCTACCAAATATAGTAAAATGTCAGTAACCCAGGAATGCTCATAGCCAATTGTAGCGCTCTCCAGTGTCTGAATATATAAGCAATAGGCGCCAACACCACGATACCGCACGCCCAACAGATAGTGTTACCATACCCAGCATAAACACGGCTGCGAGGTGGAAACATTTCAGTTGCTAGGATGAAGTTACTAACCATAATACCCTAAACATAATAAAGAGTTCACATTATGAGACGGCGAAGTCTACACAGAAAGTTTGTTGAAAAAGCAACAGGAGAATACCAAATGCTGTCTTGGTTTGCTTTGTGTATGCCACCTTTCAGGGACCATCTTTTCTCACGTAACCTCTAGCATGAAAGATACCCCACTGCCACAGTGTTAAAGCGGGAGGGTCGTCACCTGCGCACGCGCGGTAATTGATTTCCAAACGATGATAACAACACACGCTAAAAACGCAAAGGCTCATAGGTAGCGCTTGTTTGTAAACATTGACACGCTATGGCCATCTGACGCAGGCACATGTGACGGACTCCCCCGCTTTAATATTTCAGTAGACTATTACTAGTATTATGTTTCGGTTGTCCATGCATGTTGCATATTTTGTGTAGAGACTGCAATTCGAAATGCGCTGTCTAGTCATTGTACTCACTCCACGCCATTAAAGCCGCACAGTGCGTTATGCATTCCATGACTATGTCTGCTTACAGGGACGAAACGAATTTGCCGAGCTGCAAGTTTGAATTCCGTGTTTCATGTTTAGATTTTCAAAAATGTCTTGTAAAATAAACTTTGTTAATGGATAATTATGGTCAAAATTATGTGATTATGCATACGTGTGAGTATAAATAAACCAATTGTACAAAATCAAACAAAAATATACTTACCTGAACACAAATTCCTTGAAAAAATCTCAATATTGTGAATCCTATCATAGTTTGTGTAAATGCAACTGTAATACCAATTACGGAAGCGGACCACATGGATATAAGATAAACTTTTTTTCTTCCAAAACGATCGGATAAATACCCCGCTAGAAACGCACCTATCATCACGCCTGCCATGAAAATAGACTGCGAAAATTGAGAAACTATTGCGTCATCGCAAACTAGATCCCACTGCAATTAAGAATAAATTTTAAAATAAAAGTTAATATGGCTATATTGTAAACTTTATTAATTATGTCGTACTTGTTTGGTGAGATTGACACGGCTAGCATTGGTGACAGCACGGTTACTAGTGGTGACAGTGACAAGATGGCGTCATCTGTAAACAGTAATGCATGACTAATCAGTTTAAAGCTCTGCTACAACCGATCGTCACTAACCGCTCGGACGTCAAACTTCAGTAAAAACCGAAGAAATGAAAGTTTAAATCAGAGTTTCAGTACAACAAGACAGTATTACGTAAACAGCCAAGTTGGCTGAAATATGAGGTTAGTGAATTTGACCAACACCACAGACGTGGTGGCTTTCAGTGGCTTTCCCAAGTCCGACATATAATAGAGGCTTTCTTATCCTACCAGTCTTACAGAAAAACACTCAGTCATTGGACAGAACATTTTCATCTTACACAGAATAGGAGATTTAAAACGCAATGGATTCAACATACCCGACCAAGATGAATTTGTTATAGGTCAGGATATAAGTAGCTAATGAATTACAAAAACACCCAAAATAAATACTTGGTCAATTTCTTATATTTC